GTATATACGACAATCTCTCGGGTAAAGAAGGAAGCAATAAATACACCATATCGTACTTGTTCCCACCTTTTCCCTAAGGAATATGACTTTATAAATTTTACTTCTAATTTTAAAACAATTTTTTTATTTCTCCCTTTATTTGAAATAATAATAAATAATAATCTAAAAGAAAAAAAAGAATAAACTAAAATTTAATTTTTCGCTATTTCACAAATGTGAATGTGTCAAAATTAGTTTTTATTTTTTTTAATTAAAAAGAAAAGTTTTATGTCTTAAATCATATTTTGCGATCAAATAAATTAAAAATCCTTTCTCAATAAATTCTCTCCGAATATGGGACTAATTTTTCAAAAATCCTGCACTTTAGAAATATTAAAACAATAAATATCTCTCTGTGTATTAATAAATTTTCGGACAACATTGCTCGAGTTTTTCTCGTCTTTTTCATTCTTTCTCCAGCACACAAAACTACAAGACCAGTATATAATATAACAAATAACAATCCCTTTGTAATATGAAATATAATTTTTTTTTTTTTTTTTGGTACATTTTTTATTTCAACTTGCACTCGTGTGTCTTGACATATTTAAGATTTTAGTTGGTTCCTTGACAATGAAAGCCACTTGTACAGGGAAGCATTGTTATAAAGTTAACAGTGTATACGGAACATAATATACGTATATATATATATATATTTTTTGAAAAATAAGAATGAAATATTTTTATAACCAAATAGAAAAAAGATTGTGTGTCTTGTACGAATTTCTTTTCGAGAGTTACACACATGTTAAAGAGAAGAAAAAGATTTTTCTCTTGTTCAGGTCCCTTTTGACCTCGAAAAAAAAGGTAAATGGTTTGGGTGATTCAAAAAAATATAATAAACGAAAGCTCTACCACATATTGTCCCTTGTATTGCACAGAAAGTATTCCATTATTTCGGTTCTATGTGCACTGACTTATAACAAAATTATTGTACAAGAAATAATATTTTTATTATTTTAACTCGTTATTTTTTTTTGAATGCATGATGCTTTACAATTTGTAAATAATAACTGCACTGAGAAAACAATATATTTGACTTAAACATAATTATCATTGTTATACAGTCAACCAAAAATTATTTTTGAATTAAACATAATAATTTTGATGCAATACCATAATAAGTTTGATTAAATAAAAATTTTGTTTAATTCAATTATAAAAAATATGTTTAATTTCAAAATATTTTCTTGGTTTGATACTTATTTTTTAATTAAAAAACATTTTTTCAGTGTAAAGTTAATAGTAAAAAAAAAAAGATAAAAAACGTTCTTAATTAATTTTCCAAAAAAATATCAAATGTACAGATAAATAAATAAAGTAATGTACGATAATATTGTAGAAAAATAACTAAAAATTCGCAAAATTGGAAAAAGAAAAAAAATTCTTCAATATTAACAAATATTTATAAATTATTTATTAAAACAAATTGATATTTTTCTTTGGTTGTAGCAAAAAAGTAACGAATGAACGTTTATTGAAACATTTTTAGTAATACAATAGTCTTGTTAGAGGGAGAATAATATTTTTTTTCCAATTATTAGAAACTCTAGAAGAAATAAAAAAGAAACCTAGCTTTTAACATCAGTCTGGCATCAAATTTCTCAGCACCACGTATATACCTGTTGCATATCTGCCTTCGCTCTACTGATTGAAATTCAACTATTTACTCTTGCTACTCTAAACAAAGAACCACAAACCATAATTGGACACCTGTCTATAACCTATAACCACAACTAGCATCATTTGCGAGCCAATATTAAGTAATTAGGTGGAATTAAATTACACTTTAATGAACTATTATAACATCACCCTGATTATTTGTAAAAGTGACAAAAAAAAATCCAAATTCTCCAAATAAATCAACAAATTACCGAAAAAGTGCAAATTAAAAAACCTTTTTTTTAATTCTAAAAATGCAAATTACCGATCAAAATTTTTTTTTACCAAATATTTAAAAAAAAACTATAATAAAAAAAATAATTCTTGACTATATTTGGAATATTTAAATTATGCATTTTTTTGAAAATTACATTACAAAAAAAAAGAATTTGCATTTTCATTTAGCATTTTTTGTGAATTTACCGTTTGGAATAGTTTTTGTGATGCGTGGTCGAATAATAAGAAACGAAGAATAAGACCAGATGAGCCCCAAGACAATTTGAATGTCACGTCGGCGAACAGTAACAATCATAAAGAACGAAAATCAAATTCGTTTCCAATTTCAAGCATGCACAGTCAATATCTGAATATGGATTAAAGTTTTATATGGAAAAATACTTTTTCTAAAAAGTTATATATTTTGACAAAATACACTCGTGAAAGAGAGAGAAAATAAAAAGAAATAATATTAGAACAAAAAGAAAGAAAGGAAAAGAAATATTTTTTATATTTAAAAATCAATGAAGAAAAAGGAGAGAAAAGAAAAGAGAGGAAAAAAAGACAAAGAGGAAAAAAATAGTTCCTATTAATAAAAAAATATTCGCAAAAAAAAATATGTTACATTTGTTCATACATATTTTCTTTCAAAATAAACACAGTTGTATTAAAAAAGAACTTTTATCAAAATTTAATTGATACGTGTGTTAACAATTTAACAAATAAACACACGCTATTTGAATCAAACCAATACGATTTATTTAGACCATTAAAAAAAATAAACGAATTTTCTGAATGAAGCTGTCAATCCAATTCGATTAACCATCCACTACATGATATCTGTAAAAACATTTATCGGAAACTCGTCTGTTAAAGTTTTTATTTAATAAAAATATCAATATTTCACTCTTTTCCGATAATATAAATTCGCATTTAGATGAATTTACGAATTATCAAATTTTTTTTATTATAATATTCCCATAACTTTTAGTATCATTTAATTTTCAAGGATAATTTAATTTAATATTTATTATTCATTTAATTTAATATTAATTTAATTGATTAAATATGTATAAACAAAATTTTAATTTTTGGTAAAAATGTTAAATTCAATTATTTTAAAATAAAAAGGCCTGATAGTCAACAGAACAAAAATGACTATATTTTATTATTACGAAATAAAAAATATTTAAATTTAATAAAAAACGATTGACCGACCATTAAAAAAAATTAAATCAAAATTTTAGAAATTTAATAAAATTCTTAAATAAACATAACATAAGAAATAAAATGAGAATTAAATATTGCTAACTATTTCTTTTTTCATCTAAAGATACACCCAGAAAAGAAATTTTTTTGACTCAAAGCTAACTAGACTTTTTATTTGTTTCAAAGAAATTTTAATTCGTTTAAATAAAAGTTTTATTTGTATCGAATAAAATATTTATTTCGAGGGGACTGTGAATTGAATCCGAGTTCGACGGATAATAACCAAAGACCCTAACCAACAAGTTAATCAACCAACTAATATTTATTTTAAAAAAATAAATAATTTAGTAGACTCTAGATAAATACATTTAACTCAAATAAATTATATTCAAGTATATATATAAATTATATTTAGTTTAAATAAAATTTGTCTCTGGGTGTACTGTTAAAAAAGGAATAGAACTTTTTAAATCACCTAACAATTTTAAAATAAATTTATAATAATTAATTTAGAACTTCACAAAATACCGCAGTTCAATTTATATATTCATAATTTTGCAAAAAAAAAAAATCGATGCAAATAAATATTATTGCCAGGTCACGTAAGCTGTGCTGATAAAATTTATGTGCAGTTTTTTCTTAAATAAAAAAATCGACAAAACGTAAAAATAATTATTTATCAAAACGAACTTGTTTTTTTACATTTTCTGACAAAAAATAACTTTTTCCAAAATTTTAATTTTTTTTAAATGTTAACAATTTTGGTTAACATGGCCTAAAAATTATAAATAAAAGATATAAAAAGATGTTTCTTAAAAACGATACAAAATTAAAGAAAAGCATACCTATCTAGATCTCAAAACATTTTTTTAAAAATATTTTCAAATCGGTTTCCTTTACACTCTATAAAAACCTGTACGTTTTCTATAACCTCAGATTTTTTTTAATGTGGAATTTTGTTATATATTTAAATATTTAGTCGTATTTAAAAAACTATCAATTATTGACATAAACAATAAACAAATTTTCTTAAGAGCTATTTTCTCTGCACTGAGAAAACATTATATTAAAATTTATAATTTAATTTATATTAAATATAATTTATAATTAAACATTATATTATAATTCAAATAGAAAAGTAATTTTAAGTGATTTTGTTTAATTGAAATTAGTTTGTAAGCTTAATCTTAATATATATAGAAAATTTCTACAGCTTTGATTCAAAAATATTATTTGTTTGAATAATTATGTTTAATTCAAACATATTTTCTGTTATGATTTAAACATAAATTATGTTTAAAAATTTTATCTTTAATATAAACTTAAAAGTTGATTATAAATAATTTAAAATCAACAATAACTTATGTTTTAATTAAATATATTATTTCTTTAAATGAACCAAAAAATATGTTTGAATGTATAACAAAGATATTTTAAGTTTGATTTAAACAAAATATGTTTAAAACTAATAAATTGTTTTCTGAGTGTTGATTCTATTAAAATCTGGAGAATTTATACATTCTTCGTTTTTTTTCATTGCGAATTTTTTCAGAAAACACAAAGAACCTATCAGTCGCTGAAAGAAAGATAACAATGATATGATGTAACATTTTAGTATATTTTCACGAAATTCTGCATTTTAATTTCATATTCATGATTTTACAAAAAATGTGCGATGCAAATTAATTTTATCGCCTGGTCACGTAAGCTATGCTATTAAAAGTTAATCTTTTTCGCTGTTTTTTTCAATTCGAAATATTGACAAAAATTGAAGATAATTTTTTATCAATGCCAACTTGTTTTTTATTATTTTTTTTTTTGACATAAGCTACACATCATCAGTAGAAGAAGTATTGCTGGCTCAAGATGTAAGATATTCTTTATTTTTACCTTTCTTGTAAATAGTAATATAAATTTTGTCGGCCATATTGGATCCGCCATTTTGAATTTTGAAAATCCAATTATATATTCATCAGGAGCGACCTCAAAAACATATAAACACTAAGTTCTAATACATTTCATAGCCATGGTAAATATCGGTGCACCATAAAAAGAATTGAATAATGTTTTTCTCAAATTAGCGCCATTTTATTTTTTTGTTTCCGCTATTGCATATTTTGAAAATTTAATAAGTTTGTGCCAAATTGTGACACTTATTTTTTCTTTGCGATAAATTTAAAATCTGAGCCCGGAATCTTGTAGAGCGACCCCGAAAACATAAAGAAGTACTTCATTTACTTCCAGGGAACATTTTCAGTATATGAAATTAAATCTTTAATTAAACACAAAATTTCAGAGGTTTCAGGCGTTAATGGGTTAAGGGGTTCAATTCTTTATCAACAAACTATTATTATCATATGGATAATAGAAAACAGAATTTGTGAAAAGTACATTTTTAAAATTAATTAATTAAAAATCTAATTTTTTAAAAATATATACTTTATAATTCATAATATACCTGAATTATATACTATTTATTAAATATTAATTTATAGATCCTTAATTGAAAAGTCAAGAAAAAAGAAACGTTCCTGAGAATAAAAGAAAAAAAATTTGCAAAAGCTCCAGGAGTAATAATTGTAACAATATTTATTAACAATGAAGATAATTATTGTTCTTGGAAGTATTGTGACAATTATACTTGTTACATTACCAGTATTTGAATTTACAAGAATATCTGCAGATGATCGAAAAATGGAGTTTAAAAGTTTTAAAATGTTTAGACGCATGGCATTATTTAAGTATTATGTCAAACCTCAATTAACACAAATTCTAAAATGGTTAGATAACTTTGTCATGAACTTGGATGAAATTCGTGAATTTGGACGATATTCAAAAGAAAATGGACATTCTCCAGAATGGATGAAAACGCAAGAACTGAAAAATCCAAAATTATATCAATCATTGCGTTATGATACCTATGTTGAATTTATTTCTTCAAGTAAAAATGAAACTATTCAACGTATAAAGAAACTTCAGAAAAAAATCTTTCAAGGCTTACCTGTAATTCCAGCTGAAAAAATATATGATGATTATGTATCGCTGGACATGAATGAACTGATTTCATTGAAAGATTATTATGCTATTCAGGTTTTACTAAAAAATTATCATTCAGTGTATATGAAAAATCCCGTAGGTTGGAGAATGAAAAGAGCATTATACAGTTTGGCTATTCGACAGTACAGTGAAGATTTAAATTCTACTTTTTCACAAAAAATTTGTTTTACTCAATTATTTAAAGAAACTCAACTTATAAATAATTTAAGCAGAAACAGGAATTTTTCATTCAAAAATTTCTTATATTGTATTGGCAGGAACGCTTTTAAAGAAAGACTCAAATATTCTTTTATTTCTAACAATACTGATTCGACTTTTAATGCAGAGTATAGCAAAATTGTGATTACTGACCCAAGATTGATAGTAAATCTTCAAGAAGTTACAAATGATGACGATCGAGATGACTATTTTATTCTTCCTACTACACAATTGGTAGTAGAAAAAGGTCTATTTGATTATAAGACACCCTTTGGGTTAGTTAAAGCCCATACTTTGAAAACTCTACCTATTAAAAAAAATTCTGAATGGCTTACTACAATGGCAAATAATATCGAAGAGTATAAAGAGAAGGAAAGAGAATATTTTTTAAATATCTTTTCTAATCAAATAAGTACAATAGATATAAATGAGTAGTGCATTTGAAACGCGACATAAATAAAATACCATGTTTCAATTTAAATCTTATACCTACACTTAGAGAAATTTTTGTCAAGAAAATCAAATAAATGTATTGCTGTACATTCCAAATGTTTGTTTAGTTTGACTAAAAATTTGTTTTTGATTACCAAATTCTTTCATCGATTACATTTAGTAAATAAAATCAAATGTTCATGAAAACTTTCAACTCTTTCTTGTTTCTTATATTGAATTTAAATTTAAATTTCACGCCAATTTTAATTTTATAAATATCAGCCTAGATGGTATAAGAAAACAATCTTAAACAAGATAAAATGTAATCAATGTACAAAAAAACGAAGTTTAAAATTATAAAATATTAAAAATTAGCTCTTATTTCAAAGATTAAACAAATACTTCTTTTGAATTTTTTTAAACTTAAAATTAAAACAAGTTTTTACAAAATGTTGAACTAAATGTTTATTTTAATCAAACAAATATTTATTTGTTAAACAAACATTCTTTAAAATAAGCTAAAACTTATATACAACTAAAACACAAGAAATTTACTTGTATCAAATATAATTTTTATTTCAATCAATTATAAATGATATTTGCCACCAAATGCTGAAATTATTGTTTTAAATATAATTTATGTGATTTAAATAAAAATTATTATTTCAAATCAATATTTACTAGACAATAGACCTAAGTAATCTGTTATTTGAATCAACGTTTTCTTTCAATGTATTCAAATATAATTTTTTCTGAAATATAATAACGTTTAAAAAATATTAAAGGAGATTTTATTTCTTTTCACTTTTACAAAATACTGAGCAATTCCACGTGAGACGATCAATTAAAAATTTTAATTTTCTGTGAACGGTGTATAAAAGTAATAAAATCCTAAAATAACAACTTTTATAAACTTTAATTATGTAAAATGTGGGGATTTTTGAATACTTAATTTTAAAGAATATTTTTTGTACTTTTCAATTCAAAACTTTTTTTTCGAAAAAAAATTTGTAACCCCTTTTTGCCAAAATAAACCTTATTTTTCAATTTTTACAAAAAACTACTTCTTCCTTTGAACTTTTCATCATTTTCATTGAAAAGCTGAAATTTTTTTCAATAAATTATGTTACTTTTAAAGTGGAACAACAATTTTTAATCATTTTCGAAAAAGTTCTTTGACAATTTTAAAATCTATTTGTTTACAATATTCAATTTTACAAAATACCAATTATTCGTAAATTCTTCAATTAAATAAATATTAAAAAATAAAAACTTAAAATAACATTAAAAAAATTCAATTAAACTTTTTCAAAAAAATTAATTTCAAAATTCAATTATTTTTAAAAATTCATGCCATATTGCTTTTAATATTAAATTATTATCTAAAATTTTAATTGAAATTAATTTTTAAATCAATTTTTATGAGAAAGTTCTACTAGAATTCAATTATTTAAATACAAAAATAAATAATTTATTGAATAATTGAATGTTTCTTAAAATTTAAAACCAATAAAGAATCGTTATCAACAAATTTTCAAATAATTGAATTCTATCAACGAATTTTAATAAAATTTTGAAGATTAATTACATTTTTCGAGAAATTCGATTAAAATTATATTAAAAATAATTGAAATTCTGCGATGAGTTTTATTATTTGTAAAAATAATTGAATCTCTAAGAAGAATATTATGACTCTTGTACAATATTTAATTTTTGCGAAGAATATTATTACTGTTGAAAATAATTGAATTTCTGCAATAATTTGTAACTTTTCCAAAATTGTATTTTTTTTCGTGTTTTTAACTAAAATTCTTCTATGAATCCATTATTTTTAATGATTTTTAAAAAAGTTCTTTAAGAATTTTCAAATTCATTTGTTTAAAATTTAATTTTACAAAATTTCAATTATTCGTAAATTCTTCAATTAAATAAAAACTTAAAATAATTAAAAAAAAAATAAATTAAAGTTTCTCAAATAAAATTAATTACACAGAATTCTTAGTTAAAATATGAAAAATTCAAATTTTCAAAGATCTTAATCTGAAACCTTTTCAAAATTCAATTATTTCTAAAAATTAACGCTCGAATGCTTATAATATTCAATTATAATCTAAAATTTTAAGTGAAATCCATTTTTAAATCAATGTTTATGAAAAAATTCTACTATAGAAATCAATTATTTAAATACAAAAATAAAAATTTATTGAATAACTGCATGTTTCTTAAAATTCAATTCTCATAAAGAATTTCATCTGCAAATTTTTAAATAACTGATAATTCTTTTGACGAATTTTAATAAAATTTTGAAGAAAAAACACAAATTTGTAAATAATGAAATTCCTGTGAAATTTTTAGTATTATTTGAAAATAATTAAAAGTTTGTGTAGAATTTTATTAAATTTTTTTTTAAATAATTGAATTTTTTTTTGGAAAATTTTATTAGAATAGTAGATATCTACAATGAAATAAAAAATTATTTGATTCAAATAACTGATTAATTGACTATTATCAGTTAAATATTTAATTAAATCAAATAATATTTATTGCAGTCGATTAAATGGTATTTGCTTCAAATACTGAATTTACTGGTTCAAATACCATTTAATTGACTCGAATAAATATTATTTGATTCAAGTAAATATTTAATTAATAATAAAGTTAAAATTATCGATCACTCCGAGTCAGGTTGAAAAAAAAATATAACAAATTTTATATTTTTTTTATTTTACGTTTCCACGGCACAGCCGTCCTCATCAGAAACAGTAAAAATATTTTTAAAAAGAATAAATAATATTAAACATCTTTGAGTGTCAAGTAGCAATTTGCGTTTGATCGGAACGACAAATTTTCAGATCTTTAATATTATTTATTCTTTTTAAAAATATTTTTACTGTTTCTGATGAGGACGGCTGTGCCGTTGAAACGTAAAATAAAAAAAATATAAAATTTGTTATATTTTTTTTCAACCTGACTCGGAGTGATCGATAATTTCAACTTTATTATTATAAATTTGCCGAGTGATAGCTTCAATTATTATTTAAATATTTAATTGATAATAGTCAATTAATCGGTTATTTAAATCAAATAGATTTTTTTTCAGTGTATTAAAAGTCATTAAATTGAGGAAAATTTTTGAAAATAATTATAATTTTACCAAAAATTTTATTAAAATTTTTGAAAATAATTGCATTTTGGAGACAATTTGTTTGTTTACAATTTTCTAGTTTTTTTATAATATAAAAATTTTAAACAGATTATAGAAAATTTTTTTTTTAATTATATATATATACTATATATACAATATATATTGCGAATAGAAACACACGCTACAACTTGTAGTATTTACCATGAACTTGAATCATATCCAATATATAAGGTTTCTGCGTGAATCGCTCGACAAGAGAGAATCCGGAAACACGATGGGTTACAGCTTTCATATAAAGCTATATATTGTATATATACGTATATGTGCAGTGAACAAGGCATCATTCGCTATATACAGAAATAGGATCTTAAAAAGGGGTCTTGAAAAGAGAACCTCTTCGAGAAGATTGCATTCTACATTATAGAAAACTATACCTATATACTACATAAAGAGAACATTTTTATAATTTTGTATTAGCCTGAAAGTAATACTAGAAATAAATATGTTTCATTTATTGTTATGTTAACACGAAATATATCGAATGAAAGAAGCTTTTCAATTACATTATTTCCCTGATAGTGTACGATTCCAAGAAATATTTTCTTTGAAAAAAGTACATTGCTCTTTCTTTAAAAACATTTTCGCAAAATCGTATAATTGAGTGTTAAAAATGATTCTATTGAAATAATTTATTTTAAATCCACATTTCAAAAAAATGCCCTCTTATTTTAAATAAATATAAAGATATTTATAATATAAATTAATTTAATTAATATTAATTAAATATAAAGATATTGATTTGAAATTAAATATGTTTTTTTTTATTAAAAAAAAGGTGGAATTTATTTATTTATTTTTTTTTTTTTGGTAAAATTTAATTATTTTTTAATTGAATTACTACAGTGTTATAAAATAAAATAATTAAATTTTGAACGTTCATATGTATATAATGTATGCGGTAAAATATGTAATTTTATTTTAAAATGAACCCTGCCAGTAGTAGCTTTCTCTTGAGTTACGAGATGGATTACTCAAACTCTAACACGTATAAAGTCCCCTCGAACCTTAAGAATAAAGTGATAAAAAGCTTTTCATGCTTTGAGAGACACAAAAATATTTTTATATCCTACATATTATGGCTTTATGACGAGAAACGTTTATGATCTCATGTCAACCATTTTTAAAAAAATTGTGACAGTTATGTAGAACAGTAATAAATAATTTTTAAGTGTAACATTGTAAAATTATCAATTATTCATAAAACTTTTTTTTTAAACAAATTTTTAGAGTCTATTTGAAAATTTATGTCGAAAAAATTATTAATAAATTAATTACAATACTATTAATAATAAATTAATTATGTTATTATTAATAGTAAATTATTAATAATAATAAATTAATTGTATTACTATTATTACTATTATTATTTTTATTATTATTATTATTATTATTATTATTATTATTATTATTATTATTATTATTATTATTATTATTAAATTAATTTTATTATCAATAGCAAATTAATTTTAAAATATATAATTGATAATAATAGACAAATAATAGAAAAAATATAAAGGAGTGCAAATGCATTCTTATCAAAATAAAAAAAATTGGACTTACTGAAATTTACCTCGTTTGTTTACTATAAAGGGCATATTTTCCTCGGAGTGGTAATTCTCCTTTTTTCCAACAGATTTTCCATCGTTGACGCAAAAATATAAGTATGTGTTTGAACTTCCTTTCAAATCGGACTTGAAATTCACATTTCTGACATTGAAAATTGAAAATAAAAATAGAAAATCAAAATTAATCAAAACAAAAAAAAACTGATAAATTATTATTTCTATGGAAACGAGTAGTTACAGATTTCAAACTCGAAAAAGAGTAAATCGACTAAATTCAACAAGTTGGTTAACAAAAATTTATTATTTTCCAAAATTCGTCAAATATGAAAGGCATTATTTAAAAAAAAAAATTTTTTTTCTTAAATATTCCAATTTGCGAGATAGTAATTTTCCGGACGTGGAAACACTGTCGCTTTTAATGACGACTTACAATTTTAATAAGTTTATTTCTTGCCTCGAAAGAAGAGTTTCTCTATTTAATTTTCAAAAGAAATGGAGTACGATTTACATTAATTTCGAGTAAAATTTTAATGTAAATTTCTTTTAAATTTCAAGTAGAGAAAATATTCATGAGAAGAAAACACTTACCTAACCTCATTTTCCGGGTGAAATTTTTTTTTCGTCAGTTTCAACTAATTTGTCAATAAAAGACTATAAATTGTAACAAAGGAGAATTTTCAATCCGTCGATAATTTTTTTCCAAATAACAAGGCGCGCCTATTTCGCAGTCGAAAAAATTATAATTCGGTAAGTCTACTTTTTTTCCACAGAGGAAAACACTCGCCTAACTTTTATTCTGTCAAATTTTTCGATTTTCTGTTTTGTCAATTATGCTAAGCGAAAAAAGAAAATTAAAAATTAAATTTGCCTCATTACTTCGAACTTTTATTTTTCTATTATTATATCGTAAAAAGTTTTAAAAGAACGTTGAATAGGGATTTCCATTTAAATTTCAGAT